CAATGCTACTACAAAAAGAACAAGAGATTCCCATGCCATGCTTAGTAAGAATATTCAGAGCCTGCCTAGTGTGGAGCTACATTTCCAAAAGATGGCGAGAGATCTGGTACACATACCAAAAGTAGGACGAGCTATAAACCAACTTGTACAGAGCTATCAGACTTCCATCATTCATGTTAAAGAAATTAAAAAGACTGGTAGAGAACCACATTCATGAGACAGTGCTGATGAATAAACCTCTCAGTGAGCAACAATTTGCATACCAACTAGACGGAGAATGGGAGATCCACAAAGCTAGCCCTGGACAACCTGCGTAAATGCTTAACCAAGTCCATAAATGACAAGGAGATAGCCTGCCACACTGTTTATGGATATAGAGTGAGCTTTCAATATTGCAACAACAGCCTCTCTATATAGAGCTATAAAAAAAGAGAGGAGTTCCAGAGAAGATGTGCCAATGAGTGGAAGAAGGCCTAAAGAACAGGATAATCACATCCACCTCGGGCGATGCTACCATCCAGGCTAAGATAGCCAGGGGATGCCTGCAAGGAGGTGTTCTCTCACCTCTGCTGTGGACGACGCTGGTAGATGAACTACAAACGTTGGAACAAGAAGGATTATGTACTTTTGCAATTCATGTCGAGAGATGATCCTTCAACCTGATGATGAGCTAAGGGCTCGAAATCCAGATCGTTGGAAAACAACTCACTATGAGTAGGAACTATCTTTTTAAAACAGGATTGAACACCACACTCACTCCATCATTCATCATTTCTACCAAGAAGGATTCTACTGCCTAGGCTATGTGGACAACCTTGCCATAGTAGTAAAAGGTCATTGTACAAACACCATGGATCATATACAATGAGCAATCAATCTGGTTGACAGGTGGTGTAAAAGGGAAGAGTTATCTATCAACTCCCATAAAATCATAATGATTCCATTCACAAGGAAGAGGACAAGAGGAAAACTCCAAGTCTAAACGGGACTCTGATCCCATTTTCCAAGCAGCTCATGTGGAATTCACATCTGATTCAAACTACCCAGAGAGCCAAAATTGCCTGGGGGAACTGCAGAAGGCTCTGCGCCATGAACTGGAGTTTAAACCCCAAAATGACCCTATTTAAACCCCCAAAATACACCTGTGTCCTAAGACCAATATTGACATATGGGTCAGTGGTGTGGTGGGCCAAAGCAATAAGGCTATTAAGTGCCACCCAAAGACAAGCTTCTCTCAGTGTCACTGGTGCCATGAGCAAAACACCAACTGCGGCACTGGAAGTTTTGTTAAACCTCCCACCACGTCACATTTTAATTCAAGAAGAAGCCAGAGCAGCAGCCACAGTCTCATAAATGGACAACCATATGCTAGGATAGGGCATATAAATAAACAATGGAAACTGAGGGAGGAGATACCGGCAGATGCCATTCCAGGCATGCCAATTGATACCACTACTCCAAAGTACAACTTTACCAAAAAGTACAAAGTACGGATAACAGAACGGGAAGAATGGGCCAAAGGAATACCACTAAAGGCAAACTCATACTGGTATACTGACTGATCCAAAACCGACAAGGGTATGGGAGCTGGAATCTTCGGGATACCCAAGGACGAACTGACAGTAAACCTAGGTAAATATGCTACAGTTTTCCAGTCTGAAATCAACCCCACCTTATGAGATGGGGAGTTGACGTCCGAGTGGATCTAGCCGAAGGTCGTGGGTTCGAATCCCTCTCGTGCCATTAACTTTTTTTCATCTCAAAGTAGTGAATTTGAAAATAATAATAAAATTTCGAAATCATGGCATTTTCTTATTTGTTCCTGGGTTCGAAATGAGGGTGTAATGGTTTTTGGATCATGAGAATTACTCAGAAAGAACTCTAAATGTTATTACAATTATTGAATCAAACAACAAAAAAGAAACTATTTCACCAGTAGTCATGAAACTTTAAACGTGTTTCTCAACTGTTGAAAAAACGGAACCTTATCATTTTTCTACTGGACCCATCATATATATACATTCAAAAACCAACCACTAAACAAAATGCCACCATAGTTTTAACTTATATTTTCATTTAATATTTAAAATTTCATTCAATTTGTTAACTACATCAGAATAATTTCTATCATAAGTAATAAATTGTTTACTACTGAAATGCAAATTTGTTTACTCAACTGTAAACAGTTAAGTGTCAGCCAATTTTTGAATCAAACCCAAGTATGACTCAGGACTCACTGTCAGACATAACAGATTTTCTACTATCATACCAAATTACATTATATTGCATTATATTAGTGTAATAGAAAAGGAATATCACAAAGGACTCACGATGTAAACCTGAAGTAGGCTTTTATTAACTTTGAAAACATGATACAGTTACACGATTAACTTTACATAATACTCTTTTGTATAAACAATTGCTTATGTCCTTTAGGAGGTTATCGGTATTAGAAAAAGCGGGCTATTTAAATCACCACAATTAGATACAACTTTCTTGTATATTTTCAATACATTAATACAACAACGAAATTTTAGTTCTAATGTTTTAAATAAAATAAGTGTCTGATTTATCAAGTATTTATTTATTTACGGATCGAAATCCACTATAAAAAAAGACATTTTACAGTAACAAAAAATATAAATAATATATGTAAAAATACAAATAATATATATAAAAAGAATAAGGACGTATATTTTGGTAATAATATAAATGGTAAATATAAATGATAAATATAAAAATACAATTAAAGAGTAAAAACTGAACAACAAAAATGAAAGACATAATTGCTAACCAAATAAGGCAGAGGAAACAAAATAAAGCTGAAAGACAATTGAAACTACAATAATTAGGTACATATTTAATGCAAATAATGCACTTTGTAAATATATAATAAGACTAGAGTGCGAGAATTAGTTGAGCCAGTAAATGAAATAAATTGTAATAATTTTGTACAGTATGAAATATAAAAGCATTCAAGTAAGGTTGTAGTATAAGGTTTTTCACAGATTGCTCAGAACTATTGAAGAAGTCAATGCTATTGCAGATGTTGTTACTCTTGATCATCATTCTGTGTAGAGGAGAAGAGAGCTTGTAGTTAGAGCTTTGTCATTCAATATAAAATAATTTATAGTTTTTAAGGGAGTGCGAAGGGACATGTAGCTGTAGTTGAGAGAGGAGATAAGGACTATCAATGAGATTGTTTAATAATTTAAATACAAAAACAATAACAAAGTAATCCCTTCTTACTGCCAGTTCGAAAAGTTTAAATTCAGAGCGGATTCCAGGATAGGCAGAATTCGGAGGAAGATTGAGTTTGTAGGAAAGTTTTTTTAAAAATTTGTTTTGTACAGATTGAAGAATTTTTTGATAATTTAGATAGAATGGGTTCCAAACAGGTGTAGCATATTCTAGTATGGGTTGTACAAAAGCTTTATAAAGATGGACAAAACATAGAGGATTTTTAAATTCATAGATGTTCCAGATGATGAAACCTAGCATCTTTATAAATTTATTTTTTATTGAAGAAATATGTTCTTTAAACTTGAGCTTTTGATCAAAAAGTACACCAAGATCCTTTACGATCTCAACTCCCGTTAAAAGAGCATCATAGAGATAAATAAAAGGTTGTTTCTTATGAGAGAATGTAATTGTGTAGCATTTGGAAACATTAAGAGCAAGTTTGTTATTAGAGCACCAGGTTAGCACATTATTGATAGAATTTTGTAATTGTAAGCAATCGGAAGGAGAAGTGATTATGGAATAGATTTTCAGATCATCAGCAAATAATAAAAATTGAACAGAAGGGAGAGCAAGATGGATATCATTAATAAATAAGAGAAACAAAACTGGTCCAAGATGAGACCCTTGCAGGACTACCGAGGAAGCTGCAAAGGGACATGATTTTATTTTGACTATTTGTTTTCTGTCGGAGAGAAAGCTGGATAACCAATTCAAGATAGTTCCAGTGAAACCATAATCCAATTAGTTTCCTTAACAGTATTGTGTGATTTACTTTATCAAAAGCTTTAGAAAAATCAGTATACACTGAGTCTACTTGGTGTCCAGAGTTGATTGCATCTAAGATGTAATTTTGAAATGTGAGCAGGTTAGTAACGGTTGATCTATTAGAGCAGAAACCATGTTGCTGAGGTATAATAAAAGATTTAATATCGTTTTTACGTTTATTACAAATAATAGAATCAAATATCTTGGAGAACATGGATTGAATGGATATTGGTCTGTAATTGAAAACATTAGATCTATCACCAGCTTTATGTAGGGGAATGACAAAAGTGCTTTTCCAAGCATTGGGGAAAATACTGTTTTTAATGACTGGTTCAGAATATAGTGTAAAGGAGCAATAAGAGCCGCAGAACAATTTTTAAGTAATATAGGGGGTATGCAATCGGGACCAGAAGACTTTTTCACGTATTCTATATAGTATAAGTATATTTTCCTTGTGGTCTGTTTGGTTGACGTTTAGTTACCTTTAGTTTAATTGTTGCCACCATTTTTGCCTTCCTATTCTCATTTTGACATTTCACCTTCTTCAGTAGTGGGTGTGTCTGGGTGGTGGCAAAATCCTGACTCGTTCTGACAGGACAAATCAGCGAGGAGACACAGATATGAGAAAATGATTGGTAACAAACTACACATTCTTTATTATATTGTATTTCTAGTTTCATAAATTTATTCATTTTTTGATAAACAAATAAATTTATATGAATAGTAAATATATTATATATGTATAATCATCTCTTATCATATTATGTTATGGATTTTGATGCATGCACTGAAATTATTTATGTTAATAAAGATTTTTGAAAGATTTTGTGTTGATTCATTACTGAGAAATCATAATAAATATTATGCTGTTAAATGTAATGAAATAAAAATCGTGTAACAGGTAAAGAGTTTAAAAAAAAAAATTTTTCCTTTTTTTATTTATGTATATTTTTTAAATTTTATTATAATAATTTAATTTACATCACATATAAAAATGTTTAGGTGAACAATACAATACTAAAGTAATATTCATTTATTTATTGTTATTTACAACTGTGTTTTAAGATTCTACCAATAAATATAATTTAATACAATCTAACTATTCTATTTTTATTTCTATTATTCTATTCTGCTAAGCTTTCTCGTTCCTTTGCTATTTCTATTGGGTCCGTTTTCAAAAGTGTTTTAAGAATTTTAAGAATTTGCTTCAACAGTGCAACAAAACTGTTTATAATTTGAAGAGATTGGCTTTCAGAGTTTTTTGTAGCCTCACCTGCCATTTCCGTAGCTTCTTGTAATGATTCTACTATTTCCTGACCTTGATTCATGTAATCTATTAGTTGTTTGAATTTGTTTCCTATATAATACACGGCTTTCTTCGCACTTTGTACAGTGCGGCTGCTGATTTGCATTAGTTTGTTCCATGCACACTGCAATTTACTTTTTGTAAGTCCCCAATAATCCACACTGCTTAATGAATTCGCTGCATCCTTTTCTGTTTGGTTGGTTCCGACAGATTGTTCTGGAATTATTTTCAATGGATCATTTCCAATAATTGGGCTCATTTCTTTATTTGAATGCAAAATATTATCTGGAGCAAACATATAATTGAAAATGCATTTTTTTAAAACTCAGGTGTGAATAGCCTACCCTCAACATTATGTGGAGATTCAAGATGTGTAGAGTCATTGAGTTTCTCATTACTAGTGGTCACTGTACTTTCTCTCGGCTCATCCTCCTCTACAATTGGTATACTAGATGCATTTGGATTTGGTGGTGAATGTTCAGTGGATTCTTGGGATTTAGAGTGACTCAAACAGGCCATAAAAATGATCATCAATAGTTTCATCTTGGAAGTGGACTGACCCTTGAAAATCGCTTCCTTTTTTCATAGGAAAAAAAATCCAACTTTACACAACTGATCAAATAAAACTCTTTCATGTTTTTAGAGACGATTACGTAGATGCCCAAACAATATTTGTACAATATGATTTGGAACGAGAGAAAAAAGGGCATTTTAGTGACACAGTTGCTACCATCTAGCATTAAAACAGAGGCTGAGTTTTAAAAGGTTAAAAATAAAACAGTTATGAACTAGAACACTGTATTTTATTATTTTGCTTATTCTATAGTTTATTAACAACACTAGAAAAATATTTGTCATTTGGAAATGATATTGTTTTCTTTCCAATTGATATGACAAAAGTTTTTCACAATTACAATTGGCATTTAACTTAATTTAAACAATTAAAAGCATATCTTTCATTTGTAAGCTTAGCAAAGCACAAAGCCATTAAAGAAATCAGCACATTAATGTGACTTTTTAATTATAAGAATTTTTATAATAAAACAGTCTTATAGAATAATATTATACTCCCTGTAGATTACAGTTTCTACTATATCATCCTTTATATAATAACAAGTTAATAATTTGAACTATATATTATTTTTATTAATAATTAAAAAAATAGTTTTATTTTAATGATAAACGCTACTATTTAAATTATTGGCTTCAATTTATAGGTAATGGGATTTGTTAACAGCTTTTATTTTGTACATATATACTGAGCAATATTAAAAAATTGAAATGGTTTTATTTTAATGAAATAAAACCAAAATATGGTAACATTGACATTTTACTTTATATAGTGTTCAAAAATCTGGTAATAGTATTAATAAAATAAGGTGCACCATTGTAAGTTGAATTAGCAGAATTTCTCTTAAAGTTGGTATACCACCCAGAATTATGATACGTTGGTAAATCAGTTTGAGGTGGAGTAACAAAATAAGAAAGCCCCTTGTACATCCATTTTGCCAATGTGTCAAACATGGTTTTCGTAAATGCTGCTACTCCAGTCGTAAGAAGTTGCCCCTTTAAAGTAGCTAAAGCGGCTACACCTCCGGCTGCCTTTATGTTCACTTCGCCTATTGTATGTAGAACAGCTACATTGGCTTTAGAAACAAAGTCTTCTATCTTTACACCAGTCAGCCCAGCATTTTCTATTCCACGAACCATTAACTCTCCCAAAACAGCTATCAGTTTAATAACTGAAGAAATCACTGGTAGGCTAGGTTCAAAAACCTCGGCTGCACGTGCCAATTTGCCTAAAACAAAGTGCTTGATTTACCCTGTGTGTTTTTAATAATGCATTATATTTTTACCTAATAAATATTTGAACACAGAAGCCTTAGTGGTTATTGTTTTGGTTTTGATCCATGTACTTAGATCAATTAGACTATTTGACAGATTTGCGGTTCCTTCAAGGCTCTTAGAAGCAAGCTCACTTCCAAATTGTACAACCTTATTTCCCAATCCTAAGGCTCCTATCACAGCATGAGAACTGACATCAACTACTTTCTTTGACGCATCTGTGCTATAATCGAGCAATCCATGTACTCCCGGCCGGCAATGAACAATTCTAAAAGTACAATTAATAAAAAAAGCTAACACTATGAAAAACCTCATTTTCCCTTGTCTCAACTTTGACTTTCAACACAGTTTAAAAAAAATTTATCCACTGTTCTACAATCGAACACTTGGGCAAACATGTTAACTTTTTGAATCTGGAAGGGGAAATTTTTATGGCGAATGCAAATATTTCTGTTTAAACAACATTTGATTTTCTGTTTTGATTATGTACTAAGAAACTTTCCTCCCCCCCCCCTAATTCTTTAACCAAAAATTGCTATAAAATACTTTAAATTTTATATCTGGATTCATTTTTCCTTTTTAATTCAGAGCAAAATATGAAAGAGCCCTGATTAATTTAGTCATAAGATACCAAAGAAATTAAATAAAATATTAATAGAAATGCAACAGGCATTTATTTGTTAATTACTATTACAATTCAAAAGTGGACAGCTCGTTAACAAAATTGAGAAATGTAATTGTTTTAGTTGTGAGGAGTGGTTAAGAATGAGGTAGTTTCAATTTTTTTTACCACGTTTCAACCTTCATTTAGGTCATCTTCAGCACATAAAGTGTCTCACAAGGATAGCACCTCATTTTATGCCCTGACAATGACCGGAATAAAGGTTGAAACATCGGGAAAAAAAAATTCTGAACTATCTCATTCTTGTCTGCTCCTCATGACTTCAACAATTATGAAACAACAGGTTTGTAAGAAACACATTGAGAAATGTGCTTGTTCTTAAGACATTTGAATCAAAAGAAATTGAAAAAGAGGTAGATGCTTTTCCATATCAAGCTTTCACGTCTCTCATTCACAAAAGATAAAAATTAAAAACACTAACAAAGACATTTAAAGTGGAATAAGTAACCACTTCAAAAGCAATGCAAGAGAACCTTGTAGACTAAAAAGTAGATAGTAGATAGTAGTATAAAAAATAGAAATAGTACATTTTAAGTAGATAATAGTTTTGAAATTCAAAGACCTGGATTACTTTTTTATCACCACAATGACGGTTTTGGAATAAAAGCCAATCCTGACGAATGATCAGCTACCCATTTTTCTCAACGAGATATCCATCCCTCTGCCTAGCTGTGGCATATATATAGCTCTGTTGGTTTAATTTACCTAAAAGGAGAGAAAGGATTACCTTCAAACCCTTGGCATTTTAAAAAGATTGTCATCAACCTCCCCAAATGTGAAGATTCTGCAGACCTCTGACACATCTAGTGATTAATCCAAGATAATTGAACATTAAAAAAGCAAAATAAGCATAACATTAAAATAAGCATAAAAACATTCACAAAATAAAACGTTTTGAGACATGGATTAATCTCTTAACTACCCTACAATTTCATGAAATTTCTATAAATTTACACAGCATCACAGATGACCGAGAATATGTCAAGGCGAATAAATAACCGTTATTTTCAATATTTTTTTTTTTGTCAATGACTATTCAATAGAAAAGAAGTCACAGGGTCTCAACACGACAGACAAGAATGACACATCTACATGGGAAACTAACACTTTGAGCACTGAAGATGATCTCAATAAAGATTGAAACGTTGGCACGATAAAGAAAATGTTTTTCTAAATCCTACGGCACACCAGACCGCATCTCACAACCTCCAAATAATAGCTGTTAAAAAAAATAATGTGCAACTGCCCTGCAATACTTAGGCTTATAGTACCTGGGAAAACCGTACATGCGCCATGTACATCTTGATACACCTGAGAAAAATTCTCTGCTTCATAAAATAAACAAACTCCTCAGCACACGATCAGCACAACAGCTGAAAGTTTACGTGCTAATCCCTACGACTCCAAATGGGAAAGAAAAAAATCAAGTTTAAAATATTTCTTTGTTTCACTTTTTTAAAATATCACATCATTTGTAAAACACAATATAAAAATCAACATCATTTTGTATTTATATCACAATTTCAATAATTACACTCCTTTCTAACACATAGTACAACTTAAAAACAATTAATTTGCTAACATCATGTGTAAATCTTTTTCAAAATATTGTACAATTGCATATTTCAATGCCATAAACAAATCCGGATTTTGCAAAACCAGGGTGGCAAGTTTAATGGCGTCTGTTATATCTAAGTCTTTGATTGAATTTTGTAAGTGCTGAGCGAATTTGTTTCGTTGTGTAACACTCATGTCTTCCCTAATAATCAATATGACCGGTTTGAACTGTCCTCTCGTATACCACATTGACGACAGGCCTCCCAAAGTTGCTCCTGAAAACAAAACACTAAAATCAGCTTTTGTTCATAATATAACTTAAGGGCATTAACTGACCGACTGCCAAACCGATTGGGCCGCCAAAAATGCCTCCTATAAATGTGGAAATGCCAGTGAACGTCGCTCCCTTTAATGAAGTTTGTAAGTTAACCTTCATATTTTCCTGTTGGACAATCACTTCGGCTGCTTCAATTAATTCTCTAGTGTTAAATGGCATTTTGTCCTAACATTCACTGTAAAAACCATCTTTTTGTATAAAAAACAATAACGTACTCAATGCATAAAGTATTAAAAAGTTTGTACATTCTACAACCTTGTAACATAAAAAACTTGAAGAATTATGTAGTGTGTTTGTTAAGTGCAAGAACGCCCTCAAATTCTTGAAGGGACGAAAAATTATTTTACAATATTTTCCAAGGGTATAGAAGGAATTGATGCTGTTGCCACTTTAGACATCTTTATAAGGCTTTTTTTTAATTACCTGCTAAATGTTTTTTGAAGGTTTAGGGGTTCACATTGAAAAATTAAAGCTTATGTACTGGGGTATTGTGTTTTACAGCTATTTCTATTGCCTTTCTCGCCACACAAGAATAAACTTTTTCCATGCTCAGTAAGATAAGCAATAAATCTAAATGAAAAGTTACTCAAAAGCAACCTCAAATAGACTCATTTTTTTAGCCAAATCCTTTCCTTGTATCCCTTGTCTTTTTTTTTTTTTTTTTTTTTTTTTTTTTTTTTTTTTTTTTTTTTTTTTTTTTTTTTTTTTTTTTTTTTTTTTTTTTAATAAGGCAGCAACCCCAATCAGGGTTATATTTGCCTTGAATCTGTACTGAGTGCGGCCTGCGGGAGGAGGCAGACACCCGACCAAGGAGCCAGGCAGCACGGGGGGACACAGGGGGCATACGGGCAGCATTCTCTAGGATTAGATATTCAACATTTATACTTTTACTTTATCTTTCCTGCAGTACCTGCTATTGACGATGTGCATGGGCTGTGTTACATCCACACCGCCCCCAGGTCTGGGGCTTGCATTGTCGCCCAGAAGTCCCCACACCCACACACACACACCCCCACCCCCACACCACCGACACCACACCCAAGCACCAGCCGCCAGCCACAGGTCCCAACTCTTTATTTCACCCCATAAATCAGATTTTACCAATCAATTCTATTCCCTTAAAAATTTAAATAATCTTGATATTGTTGTTTCCCTGATGTTTAGTAATTCGGGTAGAGAGGAGGGCAACCCACTGCTCATGGGTGCCCTTCTGTATAACTTACATTCTAACAGTATGCTTGACTGTGGTTAAAACTCCACATATCACGCACATATGTAGAGGTTCGCGTGCCATTAAATACCCATGTGTAATTCGTGTGTGCCCTATCCTGAGTCTTGAAGTACACATTATTCTTTTATTGACAGTCAAGCTGAGGTGGTCCATAGTCCTATGTCCGCTTTAACAGCTCTTAGTTTGTTTTCTCTAATATTGAACCATTCTAGTTGCCATTTTTCTTTTATTTTGGCCTTCACATGCGTAACGAAGTCTTCACCTCACTTATTTTATGACCTTCTCTCTGGGCACTTCTTGCCGCTTTGTCTGCCTCAACATTTCCGGTTATCCCGCAGTGTCCTGGTATCCACATGACAGTGACTTGTAAATTTTTCCAGTAAAAGTCCTTTATGGCAGAATGAATTTCATGTACGAGGGGGTTCAGGCTGAAAATATCTTTTAAAGCATATACTGCCGACAGAGAATCAGTACAAAGGATCAGATGATTTCTTGTCAAAGCTGTTATGTTTAGACATTTGTTGATCGCTAGGAGTCCAGCACTATAGTTGCTACATAGTGGTGAGAGTGAGAAAGAATGTTTCCTACCGCCTGACCGCGGCACCAACCCCTTCTGTGCTCTTGGATCCATCCGTGTATGCAAAGGTTGCATTTTTGAAATGGTTTTTGATTTTAAGAAACTCTTGCTTATATGTGTAAGGATGGGTGTTCACCTTTAAGAATTTCGAGAGTTTGGGTTCGGTAACATCCAGGGAGGGGGTGGCGAGACACATGAATGTTGTATTTTTGGGACCTGTATGCCCAAAGATTGTAGAGCTAGTGATACTCACACAGAATAGTGTTTTCGCTTCTGAGTAAGGAGGATTTCATTTGACTATATTATCCAAGGGAAATAGATCCCTGAGTGGGTGCGATTTATTAGATATGATTTTTGCAAAGAACTTTAATGTCATTGAAGGGTACTATTATTTGTTGGCTCCTATATAAGTCATGAGACTGAGAAGAGCACAACAGCGTCTTTGGGTGGGATGCTTAACTTCTAATTGTCCATTGGGTGACATGGAAACAGGATCAAAAACCACACTACGATACATTTTGTCAGATAATTCTCAAATAAAAGTACAAGGGCTATGCCAGGATTCGAACCCAGAATCACCGGCATGGCAAATAATGAGCCAAATTCCCTAACAAATAGGGATATTTATAACTTATTCTTATTCTATTAATTTTAATTAAATTAAACGATATATTCTGGTTAGTTGGATAAACCAAAATACAAAATACAATAATAATGGATTTACTTAGAAATAGTAAACATGAAGATTACTCATTTCGTAAACAAACATTTTTTCTCGTCTTTTCCTCCATTTTAATCTAGTTGTATTCTCTTTAACCAAGGAAAGATATTATCTTGAACCAGAAGTTTGCAATATTATTGTGAGAATGAATCAACGAGGTCATCGGCAAGATAATATCGCAGAGACAGTTGGTCTGCCGGGCTTAAGCCTCATTCCGAGGGACTGGAAGTGCCAATATGAGGCCTGGTAGTGGATCTCAGCGCGTTACAATGCTAAGGGAGGACAGAAATATTGTCAATACTGCAAAACGGAATCCTCTCCATAGTGCCCACCATATAATAAATTAAGTACAAAATGTTTCGGCAAGGTCTTTATGAACACAAATGACTCGTAATCATTTGTATGAAGTTGGCCTGACATCGTATGCCCCTTTGAGACGTCCTGCAGCAGCAGCCCACCATCAACTTAGGAGAATATATGATTCCTAACAATCGGTGGCTAGAATGCAATTTCAATTGTTTTTTAAACAAAATGTATTCTTGTAAAAAGTTAGTATCAAGATTCCTCCATTTTGGGCAGATAAATCTAAAATATGGTTCTTCCAGGAAGAAGAACAATTTCAGTTATTTGGTGTGACCCAGGAACAAACTAAATTTAACTATCTCATTGATGAACTAATTTAATGTGTTTGGGACATTCTTTCTTCAACTGATGACAATAAAGACACATTGACAAAACAACCGCTTATTAAAAATTTCCAAAGAGAAGAAAAAAATTAATGAACTTGAACTAGGAGACATGAAGCCTAGCCAGTACCAAGAAAAATAAAAGCCCTTTCAGGTACAGAAAATTCCGACAAATTATTAAAAACTTTATTGCTGGATAAATTACCCACACAGATAAGAGGACTCAATCACCGATAGAAAACAAGACAAAATAGATTAAATTGGCTAGAAATTTGAGCAATGACGTTTCACTCTACCCAACTTAACGCAGTATCCTCTCATGTAGACAGATTTAATACAACAATTATGTGACCGTATATCTGCTCTAGAGATGGAAGTAAAAGAATTTAAGAAAAACGTTCAAGATCTTGTTGTAGATCATCATCACAATGGTCTATGTAGGTGCAGGTTCTTGCAACTTGGACAAGAAAAACCACAAGCAAGATCCTACACTAAAGAGCCGCTGGCAAAGCTGCCAAAGCTGATTAATAACCTGAAGCAGGCCAGTGAGTTATAAATAACAGGGGAGCACAATAGATCTATTCAGGTCGAGGTGCAGTAGGCCTTGTGGATGCCTCTTCTTTCCCTATCCATAACGATTGGTGGCTAGAATGTAATATCAATTGTTTTTTCAACAAAATGTATTCTTGTAAAGAGTTAGTATCAAGATTCCTCCATTTTGGGCAGATAAACCTGAAATATGGTTCTTCCAGGTAGAAGCACAATTTCAGTTATTTGGCATGACCAAATAAATTTAACTGTCTCATTGATGAGCTAATTTAATGTGTTTGGGACATTCATTCTTCAACTGATGACAATTTGTTAAGCGATTAACAAAACAATCGCTTATTAAAAATTTCCAAAGAGAGGAAAAAAAAATTAATGAGCTTGAACTAGGAGACATGAAGCCTAGCCAGCTACCAAGAACAATGAAAGCTCTTTCAGGTACAGAAAATTCCGACAAATTATTAAAACCTTTATTGCTGGATAAATTACCCACATAGATAAGAGGAATTAACTCAATCACTGATAGAAAACAAGACAAAATAGATTAAATAGGCTAGAAATTTGAGCAATGACTTTTCACTCTACCCAAGTTAATGCAGTATCCTCTCATGTAGTCAGAGATTTAATCCAACAATTATGTGATCGTATATCTGCTCTAGAGATGGAAGTAAAAGAATTTAAGAAAAACGCTCTGATGAGTCGCGTTTCTGTCTGTATAGTGATAGCAGGCGCCGAAGAGTCTACCGAGAACAGGGGGTGCATCTCTCTTCAGTACAGTTTGGAAGAGGCGGTGTCAGTGCTGGGATTTACCCTGGAAGGCAAACTGGACTCCTTATGTCCTCCTTATTAAGAGATTAATGTGAGTAGGAACCATCTTTTTAAAAAGGAAGCAGAGTTGTTCATCAATGATTAAAAAACTTGGGAATTTCCCAACTGCTCCTTCCCTAATTGTCCCCAGACCACAATACCATTGAGCGCATATGGGATGCGTTGCAAAGAAGGCTTTTCGATCTGCAGTCAGACGACCTGCAACAACTGAATGCACCATCGCAATATCTATGGATTGAAATTCCTTATGAAATTAGTGATATCCTTACTAACAGTATGCCCAAACAGGTGCACGGAGGTTTTATCCAACAAAATTATGATGTTAAAAACCTATTATTTTATTTTTCAACCCCCCTCAAAAAAACAACAATAATTTCTGACTTACCTAAAGCATCAAACAAACAATGAAATTAAAACAACGTAAGTTTCTAACGATGTCGAATTATAAAAAAAAAACACTTAAACGAATAAAAGTTCTTTTTAAAACAGCTTACGGTTTATAAATGAAACTCTTGAATGATTCTTGAACAGTGAATTTGAAACGACGATGTTTGAACAATTAAATAAATATATTTAAAAAACTGACAATGTCACAAACAAATCACAAGAAAAATCAATCATAATTACCTTAATTATTCCAATCGTCAGGTTTGCGTAAAAATGAAAGGAAAACTAACAAATCCAACAACTTAAAACGAAAAATACATTTTAAAATAGAACTATTTAAACGCTTGGTTATTTGACTATCTGAGAGATTTGAGCGAGGGGACTGAATCATCGTTCAGGTTTATTCTGGTAAAGATAGCCACATGATTCAAAGTCCACTGTATACTTAAGGCCAAGAAGTAATGATTAAAAAAAAAGTGATAAAAATATATTAAAAAAACTATAAACGATGTAGGATAAACAACCGAATAGAATTCAATATTACAACAGCAATTTCTACGAAATTGTTAATTGGTTTTCAAAGTTTGAAGTTTGCTTCACCAGAGTGGGTTCAAACATGCACAAACAACTGGAGGCAAAATCAAAATCCTTACAGAATTTCCCATTCTGAAAAAGCTAATAGATGGAGATTTTTAATTTATTTATAAATAGTACAATTTGGCCAATCATACATACATTAACCCTGGACTTAGATCCATTGTCTGTTGGGACTAAATCAATAATTTTATGATTTCTAAATTTCATTTGTGCGCGTATGTGGGCTGTAAATTTGCAAGTAATTTAACGAATATATTCAAAAACTATATCACAGTCATGCTATCGAGTTGCAGTATGATATTTCAACAGAAGATTAAGAAAATAGAAACAAGAGAACAGAAGGCGAGATATTACACATATTCGGTGCTTGCTGCTAGAGAAACCTGTACTTTCTGCCCAGAGAAATATGTGCCCAGTAAATTTATATGCAATCAATTTTAGCTAAATAATTTGCAAAATCTATTACCTGGGCTGAAAAAGAAAAACAAATAAGAAAATAGAAAGAACACACAAAAATATCGAGACTCGTTTGTACACTGACAGGCAAAAAATTCCACCCAACTGATTTTTTCGTTTTCTCAATTAAAGAAAATTCTGCTCTTAATTTGCCTCATTGTTTTTATCAATAAATATTTGTTTATGCTATGTTTTAATTTGGGAATATCGATTAAACGTAAACACACTTAATCCTTAATCCAAAACAAGGATAAAGGATTTTTCAATGTTTAATTTTTAAGGAATTGAAAATGTTTATTCAGTCTCATTTGAATTCTAAAGCAATAAACTGCTTAGTTTTCATCTTTGTTTTCTTAATTTCAATTTTTAAACTTAAAAATTCCACTTAGTGCTGAGGATGTTGCACGTGGTGTGGCTCTTGTTGATGGTGGACATTCCATCAGGTATGCGGCTATTGCCGTCGGAGTTCCACAGAGTGACGGTTTTTTTGACTTTGAGAATTTTACGAAACTGGCCCCTTACTGTTGTTCAAGCAATTCATCAGCTCCAGGAAGTTTGAAGTGTCAAAATTTTTGAACGCACTGCTCGAAGAAGATTAAATCAGTATGGATTGATGGTCTTTTTGCCCCATAAGAGGACCAGAATTGACCAGAACACAGAGAGTTACAAGGCTCGCATTTGCTCAAGAACACAGCCGTTGGTCTTTGGACGATTGGTCTGCTGTACTTTTTACAGATGAGTGTAGATTTGCTTTACGATCTCCAGATGGGCGTGAAAGAGAGTGGAGAAGGCAAAATGAAAGGTATGAAGCCTGTAATTTTTCCCAGAGCCAAACTTTTCAACGTAGCTCAGTGATGGTGTGGGCGGGAATTTCAATGAAGAGTCGCAGAGTTGGTTGTTGTTGGTGGAGGGTCTTTGACGGCCACTCGCTATGTGGATGAAATTTTGGAACATCATGCGTTGCCTATCCTCGATGAAATCAGCGACAATCCTATTCTAATACAAGATAATCCCCATCCACATGTTGCTCATATAGTACAAACGTACTTTCAACAGCATGATATCAAGGTCTTAACCTGGCCAGCCTGTTTTCCAGACTTGAACCCCATCGAGCATTTATGGAATCACCTTAAAAGACGAATAACAGCACGTCCAACACTTCCTGATACACGCCACGATCTTGAAAGGACACTTCGTGAAGAATGAAGAAACCTCCACCAAAGAGACATTTCCAGACTGGTAGAAAGTATGCCGACGCATCTTCGAGATGCAACTTGTTTTTTTTTACTTTGTTAGACACAGACTCAATTATTAAACATTAAAAAATGTGAAACTTTGATAATATATACAAATATATACAAATCAAGTTATATTACAAGTGGGCAGAATTTTTTGCCAGTCAGTGTATAATCAGAGTGTGAGATGTCTCAGAGATATGTGGAGAATATATTGCGACTAATGCCCCTCCACCACATGATAATGAAGTCAGTACAAAAACTATCCTCAGCATCATCAAAGAGGAACCTCCAACACGACTAAAACTAAAACGAATAGCAACAGCCTAATGAAGGATACTCATGGCCCCCAGGGATGAAAAGAACAGGGTGTTTGAATGTAAAAAAATTTTCTGGACAGACCTAAAGACCAAAAAAGAATGGATAAAAGGGAAGACCCCCTTTGTTGAAAACAGCACCATCTCCTAGTTCACTAATGGATCTAGAACGCAAGAAGGTATCGGGCAGGAGTGTTTGTTCCTAGAACCAAATGTTCAGAACCCATGGGAAATTACACCAGTATTCCTAGATGAAGTCATGCAATTATAAGATGTATTCGGTTCAACCTGAATAAAGGGTACAAAAACAAGAACATAGTTATCGTTAGGCAGCCATCAGAGCACTAGGCTCAATCATCATTAGCATTAGAATTGCGAAACAATATTAAAAAAATTAGGTATGCAAAATAAAAATTACCTCTGATGAGTCCCAGGACATGTAGCAGTAGAGGGAAACAAGAGAGCAGATACCTTAAAGTGGCTGCTGATAGATTTCGAGCACTTCTACGTCATAGGGATTCATATTATCAAAGAGTATCTTAAACAAGAAGACAGGACCAAAGAGGAAACTCATTCAGTCAATGGGCACAAACAATCTAAGGAACCTTTTGGTGAGTTCCAGAAGGAATGAAGCAAAATAATCCATCAAAGGAAGCTGGGGGAATAAACTTTGAATTCTAACAGGACACTGTGGACTAAAAGGGCATTTAAAGAGATTGGTATAATACAACATGTGCAGATTATACAAAGAAGCAGAGGAGACACCAATACAGCTACTAAAAAACTGTCGAGATACAATAGCTCACAGGAGGAAGTGCTTTGGGATTACAACATAACCACAGAAAAAATTCAACCACTGAAACCAGGCCTTCTAATCAAATTTCTTGATGAACTAGGAACGGGGGATGCAATAGCTCATTAAGGGGGCAGACTATTACACACTCCGAATACTACATCAACATTTACAATAAATCAACATTTAATCAATTTTACCTAAGCTGAAGAATTCATAAAAAATATAAAAAAGAAAAAAAAATCAATAGAACAAGAAACATTTTTTGCCTTATGATCTATGCATATTAACCCTGGTGACGAATTCTTGTATGTAGGTTCATATTTGGGGGGGGTGTCGTAAAAAAAGGGCCAGAGGCAACGGTGTGAATCGAACCCACGATCGCGGCGTCTATGAGCCGAGAGTATCTCACGCTAACCACTCGGCTACTGCGGTCCCCTAACAAGGAACATTAAAAAAATAAATAAATAGCAAGCATAGAAAGCACAAAATGTTTTGAAACAGCCAAACTACATGTTCATTTCCCCAAATATCCCAAGAGGAAATTCAACCGCTTAGTTTTGTGCCAAATTGATTTTTTTCTTTTAACAACTTTACTTCTTAAATCTAATTAAGATTAAGATTAACACTTTTAAAACATTACACTTTTCAATAGTAAAGGAAAGGTTTTTAACTAGCATACATATACGATTGCTTAAATATATATTTAATTTTAAAAGTATGCAATAAAAAAATTAGTGTGATAATCATATATTATTAAACATGGAAATTAAATTAGATATACATAGCAAATAAACATAAATCTATGGATTGATGATTGTTGGTAATATATCGTGGTTGGTAACTCATGGCAACTGAAAAGGTCAGGGGCAATTGAGGGTGAGTTCAATGGGAATATTTTTATAATATGGTTGTGGATTTGGATTTACATCAGAAAATGGCTAGCTGATCCCGGGATTTTTGTTGTTGACATGTCGTCAAAACATTTTCCAATGTTAAGAAATCTTATTTACATATTTCAAAATGACTTCTAGGTATAGCTGTCGTATAATAAATTGCACTTTTATTTGTATTTATTTTTACTTTTTTCAAGAGTTATACACCTGATGCATGTGTTCACTTTTATGGCTTACTCTTATGTAATATTTAAATAATGATAAACTAAAAATAAACTCATAAAAAGAATAATTAATTGACATTATTATTAATACTGAATTGTAATACACATATAAATTCATATTTAGTTTTTAAGCATTTGCAAGCTATGTACCACTTATTATACTGCTTATGTGAATACCAGCTGAAAGAATTTAGTATAAACTTTTAATGGTTAACCAAACTAAATATTTTTATGTGATTGCATTTTCATTTGCATTTATGAAAAATGTATAATATCGCCAATAGGCGACTGCAGTGGCCAAGTTGATAGGGTGTCATAAAGCTCATAAAAAAGAAACAATAACGTTGAATTTTTCTTTATGCTTTTTGATTATGTTAAAGTAGTATACAATTCTTTAAAATTGTTTCTAGTGTTATTACAGTACTACGGTGATTTAAGAAAATATTTTTACTGCTTGTATGTATTATATACAGGGGTACTACTTAAATCACCCTCTTTTCCAGTGAATCACACCTCAAAAAGTTCATATGCCATATTTCTATTCTTAACCCTTTCGCAGATATTCAACATTTTATGTTGGTTTTTTAATCCATCAATGATTTATGTCATAAATGTACTTTCAGCTCTTGAAATATTCATTTTTGGGTAAATAAAAAAAAATTGAAAAGAGGATTAAATTTCCCTTAAGGAGGCACCCTCTTTAGAGGCAATCTAGGATTTTTCAATTCGATTTTTGTTAAAAAAAACAAACACCTAAACTTTAAAAACACAGTCAAAAGAAACAGGCCTAATAAAAAAGTGAAATTCAACAAAATTTGCTTATTCACTATGTTTCTTTTTATGTGTTTGATTTTTAAGAAAATTTTTTTGTGATTTTTTTTATCAGGTTTTATAACTTCTGTATTGTTCTTTTTTTGTGTTTAGTGTAGTTATTTTGCCCAATTTTGTCTGCTTTGGTTGTTTGTGATGTTGATTGTGGCTTTTTTACGTCTTTTGTTCCATTTTTCTTTCTTTTTGTGATTTTTTTAAGTAAGTGTGATTTAATTAAGTAAAAGTTAAGAAATTAATTTTGCACAGAACAAAAAGTTTAATTACTACATTAACTCCACTCCATCTTTTTCACACGAACACCACTTTTTTCCAATTTTGCATAAAATTTTTGCATTTTGATTCTACGTAATTAAAGATGAGGGTATACTATTAATAGTGTAATAGTAATAATTTTTTTGCTTTACTTATTTTCTTTGATGTTGCTTCGAAATTCATTTTTAACACACTTTTTTGTAATAATCAGTCGTAATAATATAAAATCAATCCAAGGAGTATTGTCATACTTTTGCTGTATTAACACTTTTGAAAAAAATAAAACCTTAATGTTATTATTAATAGTCCTGCTGGAGTGTATGTTATGTTCCTAGAAATAGTGAAATAATTTGCCTGGTGTTTCAATATCAGGCATCATCAATACAGATATATCACTGCTACAATTCTTATCTATTTGTTATTTAATGAATTTTTATATTATGATTAAAATGTAGTTAACAAATCTAGTATTTTATATTATATTTAATTTATATGCTAATTGTAAAAATTCTCAAAATCAGGGTTCTGAATTCCAAAGTGTTTTAATTTTACTGACCTAGCCTTACAAAATAGTTCAAATACATTGGTAATTTCTTTTAATTAGCATGTTTTGCTATCAGCTATCTAAACAAATATATTTCTACTCTCTATAAAAAATAGTCCTTGGTCAAAACATCCCCTTCTAGCAAGGACCAAAATCTATGCTCAATTTAATCATCTTACATAATTTTTAATATGATCTTTATGTATTTTAGAAACCAGATTGATGAATTGGATAAGAACTCAAAGGCTGAAGAATATTCCATGCAGTTAATAGTCGAGGTTTGTACGATATCTCAAATTTAAGGATCAAATTGTTTTTTTGTTTTGTTTTTTTAATTGTTCTTTGTTCAGTTCTTAGTTGCACAAGGCTTAAATCGCACAGTGGAGATACTGAAAGATGAAATTTCATCTCTTGGAATAAAAGCTGTTAATCAAATTTCAACTAAAAAAGAAAGAATACTGAAAAATGATGTGGTCATTCTGCTCAACCTTATAGAATCTTCTGACCACAAAAAGTTTTTTACAGTCAGTAATACATTAATACTTAATAAAAATAACTTACATCAACTGTTTAACAGTTATTCTCTATTTTATGTGTAGAGCTGGGAATCATTGATACCACAAAGTATAAAAGAATTGCCGGAATGCAAAAAACTAAGAGTTTATCTGCATGCTTATTATGCAACACTTCCTTTCCGAGACAATTTTCAACCGTTTGGACAAAATTCAGCTATTCTTAAGGAAAAAAATGATGAAGAAACTACTGCTGGAACCAGTGAGCTAATCAAAAATGATTCGCACTTGAAACAAATCACTAATCTAAATGGAACATTTGTTGTCGAAAAACCTTACCAAGATAAAGTTCCTATTATTGATGAAATTGATTTAATTCCTTCAAATGATGATGATGATGATGCAAAATGTGAAACAGATAGTCTTGAGGATGAATCTGAATACAGCAAACACAAGAGACATTATGCCAATTTGTCAGAAGATGGGCATCCGAGTTCCGCTATGAATATGTTTAAAACATTTCTTTTAGAACACGGCGCTGAATTTTCCGAAGAGCCAGAATTCCTACCTTACTTTGCTCTTCCATTTGTCGAAAATCCAAAAACTCATCCTACTTTTGTAACAATTTTTCAGGTTTAAACAATAATTTTAAGATAAATTTTAACAAATGTATCTCTAATATTATTATTTCAGGATGATTGGGTGGCAAATTTAAAATCAAAACTAAACCAATTTCTAATCAAATATTCCTGTGGTGATTCTGTCATTCCAGAAATTGTCAAAATCTGCAAGCAAAACATGATAAAAGAAAATGAGGAGAATATAGACGTTTCAAACTCATATAAAGATATAAAAAGGAAAATGCACAAGTTGAAAAGAGATCATCAAAAACTAGTAGGTCTGTACTTAATCCTTGGTACAGATTTTTCAGCTTACAGTAGAATTAACAAACTTTACAGGTGTAGCTTCAGAGTTGGCTTCAGCATTAGAAAAATCAGTTCAGGGGGAAGGAGTGGAATTGAAATCTATACTTTTCAATTGCATTTCAATATTTCCCGACCTTTTTCCAATGCATGTGTCAGAAGAACACCAAACTGTAAGATTTCAAACATTTATTTTATTTTATTTTTAAATGTCAGAATCAACCATTTTATTTCGCTCAGCTAAATGAGGTACAATTTAATTATTGAGATTACTTCAATGTAATTGGGTACAGCTTGATGTATACCAATAAAATAATGAGTGGGAGTATCTTGGCTCCATACAGTGAGCTAGTAGGTACATAGGAAATTTATACTCAGGTATTGAAGCAAGTTTCTGGCACTCCTAAGAAGGGGAAAAATATTTATTTCAAAAATCGTATATCAACAATTGAAGTTAATGTTAGCTAATACGGTTAATTTGAAGAGCTCATTAAAAATCATGTTTTAATTATCGTCAATATTGAGGAAAATCATCATCGATCATCATTAATATTATTAATATAATAACGATAATTTCAACACTGGTTATAAATTTCTATTTGGATAATTAACATTTTTTGATGGGATTAACGATTTAAAAGATTATATTTTGCACTGATTTCTGTTCAAAAAATGAATTGTTATACTTTTTATTTGCAATAAGTTTCAATTAAAATACAATATTTAGTTTGTATGATGTTAATCCATTTAAATTTCAGTCATTGATGTGGTTTAAAAGAAAATTAAATGATAATAATTTTTTTCAAGTGGGATCAAACAGGAAGGGATTTCTTGCTAAAAAAACAAATTCTTCATTCTGATTTGGATGCGCATAAAATTAAAAATGACTTGTACAACGGAAGTGTTAAAACTCAGCTTCTACTCTTGCAAGCTTTGAGATGGGTCAGTGGCAGGTTTAAATATTCATCAAGTATCGAATAAACATTAAAACTTTTTTGTCATGCTAGCACATAACGCAGAGTGAGACAGAAGAAAGGGAACAATATGTCGTTTGGCTAGCTCGTCACGACGTGCTCAACTTAAGGAGCAAGAGTATTTCTGATTTTTTTTCTCCATCAACAAATCTCCATCCACTCCAGCAGTCAGTCGTCCGACTTCTCAATGCAATAGCATCGTTAAACTGTGGAAGAGATTATATCGGATCCTCGACTAAAACCGTTGACCTACTCTTGGAAGCAATGAAGTCTAAAAACCTCGACCAAACTTCAGAAAATATGATTGTTGCTACAATTCAAAAACTAAGTTTAAGGTAAAAATAATACTGAACCAAACTAGTCTATATCTGTCTAGATCTTACGTCATTTATGAAATATTGCTTCTTTCCAAAATGAACTTATTTCTTTAACTGTTTTTTTATTAATGTCGTAATTTTTTATATATTTTGTACTCAATAAAATAAATTGTTAAATAAAAAATGCATAAGGTCTACATATTATACAAATACATTTTCAGTGTCTTTGAGCTTATTCATTAATATTTTTCTTAAATAACTGGTAATGATTAAAATTTCAGTGGCTTTTTAAACAGTTTTTCAAATATTTAATTTGTTTAGTTTTCCTATGCAAAATTATGTCATGACTGCAAACGTAAAATAAAATTCTTCTTTAAACAAAATTTTATTATATTCAAACAATTAAAGATAAATGTGTAAAAAAGTAATTATGTTGTTTATATTTTGTTTAAAAATTTAAAAGAAAGTGTTTGATCGGAAAAAAAAATCAATTTTTTGTCTTTTGTTTTCAACTTTTCGTTCTTCGGTTTAAAAAAAAATTTGCTTCATTTGCTACATTTTGTTTGCATTAGTCCTCCATTTAGAATTGTAAAAATTACCCCCTCCCTTTTTTTTACAAAGTTCAGCCTTGTTGACGCAAATTATTTTATTTTACAATCTCATTTTTAACCGAGACTCCAAGCTTTGTTGAACGTGTGAAACAGCTGTGAAAGAGCTATGTAAGATGTTTTTATCTTTAAAATTCATTTCATTTCAGGCAAGAAGGCCCTTTTTTTATTTTTCAATTTCTGTCCCAACAGAAGAAAATACACTTTTTGGGGAACTCTGATCTAGTACAAAAGTCTTGTTTAATAATATTTGTATAATAATAACAAAATAACATAAATTAATTTTATTTGTATAATTAATTAATTTTTTTAGTTGAGATAAAAAAGTCAATGGCACGAACGGGATTCGAACCCATGATCTTTGGCTAGATACGCTGCTGCTCTACCACTTGAGCTATCGTGACCTCGATCACTCGGACACTAACTTCCCATCTCAACCCCACCTTTTGAATTTTCCCTCCTTTTTGCCATTTTTCAAATGTCATGTAATCTATTTGATAATTTTAATCTAATTGATAAAATTCAAAAGGTGGGGTTGAGATGGGAAGTTGGTGTCCAAGTGGATCGAGGTCACGATAGCTCAAGTGGTAGAGCAGCGGCGTATCTAGCCGAAGATCGTGGGTTCAAATCCCACTCGTGCCATTGACTTTTTATCTCAACTAAAAACCTTAATTAATTGTAAGGTATTAATTGGTCAAGTGGACCACAAAACTAGTGAATTTATTTGTATAATAATAACAACAAGTGACTGTGTGAAACAAACATTGAAAAATAATTTTTATAAATTATGTTCATAATTATCAGTACCATATAATAATTTCAACAAACATTAATTATCCATTCAATGATATTTTATTGCTAGGTCGTTATTGTATCATTCAAATATTCAAATTTTATTTTATTTTACAGAAAACCACTCTGCGAAAGAATGATTGACCAAGGGATGATTGATCATTTGTTGAATAAGTTGAGAATGAATAGTTTTAACAAATATACACTTCAATATTCGACATCAATGCTCATGAATCTCGCTTTAAATGCTCCTTTGTCCTATTGGGATAGGCATGCAAACATTTCTTCCTATATGGTGGATTTGTTGTTAAATTCTGACAACGAGGTAAAAACCAATTAATTGAGTAGTCATGTTTAAAGAACAAAGTTTTCCATTGATATTTTTTGACAGGTGAGTGAGTTCATAACTGTGACGCTCTGCTGTGCTCTTAGAAACGAAGAGGTGAACAAACAGTGTGCAAGAGAAGGTTTGGGAATAAAAATTGGCCAATTTTATAGTAAGAACAAACACAACCCGACGCTAGGCCGACAGTTGGACACTTTGTTAAAACTGCACAGAAGAGAAATTTCTCCATTTTCTCTGCACCTGGGCCAAAACTGTGAGGATGAACTGGTATGCTGATTATTTCATTTTAGTTCAATGCAGTAATATATATGAAACAATTTAATTACTTTCATTTGTATTATTGATTGAAAATTCTATGAAAGTACATACACTTTTCTTATTATTTATTATAAATATTGTTAAGGAGGACCCAGGAGAGTTGGATGCTGAAATAGATGAAAACGATATGGTAAAAGGAACAATTTGCGGAGATGAGTTTCTTGAGCAGTACTGTCTGATTTTTCCAAAACAAGGTTGCAAAGCAACATTTTTTTTTAAATTTACAAATCTATAAATTTGGTAAATTTTTTAGGTGTGGTCGGAAGAAGTAATGACAGGTTTTCTAACGTTCCTGTTCAAACTAACACGCCTGCTGCAAGGTTACCACGCTGGGCAACTGGAAAATAACGCCTTAGTTTTTTTTTTTGTTTTTTTTTTGCTTGGATCAAACTTTTTTTTCACATTTGTCTAAATTCATTGGAGGAAAAAAGTTTAACAATTAAATGTACAATTAAAATAATATAAATTTATTACAATTGATTTGATTGATTTATATAAGCTCACATCTGCACATGCATGTACATACATACAAGAGTGTACAGGGTTGAGCCTGTCACTTCTCGCAATCCCAGATTTTGTAATTTACAAAAAATTATTGCCAGGCTTCAAGAATCACCCAGCCTGGTGTTGGCAGTCCGGGGTCAGACCTCGGTCTTATCCATCCAGCCGCCGAGGCTGGGCTCTGGGTGCTGTCATCAGCTAGGACATTTCAGCCCCAAACGCAATCATTTCCTAAATCTAAGCCCAGTCACACACACTCATTCTTAAATACATTCTTTCCTATTTACATACCATTCACCCAGTTAAGTTGGTGAAGTTCTCAATATTCCCCCATCAGACTTTCCACCTATTATATAACTAACCTAACTGAGTGACAACGGTGTACACAATATTCACACTATACATTCAAGTTTATAAATTCATTCACTTTTAACACCCACTACGGTACATAAAATTAAGTACTATATACAATAAAACAATCCCATTTCTTTCCAGAATTAGAACAGGTGTCCCAAAACATGTTCTCTACATCAGTGGTTCCCAAAATTTTTTTGACCCATGGACCCTTTTTGTAGTCAAAAATTGCCCACGGACCCCCAAGTGAAAAAGCGACATTCATAAATGCATAGTATAAAAATTACAAATTAAAAAAAAATGTTGAAGAAGTATTAATTGAAATTATAAATTATAAATATATATAAATTATAATATTAATTACTTTTGTTTAAAATAAAATATAAAAAAATTAATGACTTGGATGAACGTGATGAGACGTTATAAGTGTATACATGTCCGGCTCAATGTTTGTGAGTAGCAACAGCAAATCCCCACGATCACTAATTGCTAGTTGGTTTCTTTTTGTTTGTGATGAGGTTCATAACGGCACTGAATCCACGTTCTACCAAATAGGAAGATGGGAAAACAGTCAACAACTTCTGTACAATAACCAAAAATTCAGGATATTAAAAACTTAAAATTGGGATCTGTTTTTGTAACCAGAATTTGTGGTATCCTTGTTCAAACATTGGTTTAAGTTCCTCATTTGTGGATATTTCAATAAGCTTCTCCTGTATTAGTATGGATTCATCTGTGTTTGGGATCTGAGTTTGTCCACGCACAAAAGGGTTCAACACCCAGTCGGGAATATCAAAGTGAAGAATGTCTTCAAATCTTTGGTTCAGGTATGAAGAGCCGTTAAGTGTTCACAGTAAGCAAGCAAATCTTCATCTCTAATTTACAATTTCGAAAGATTTGGAAACTTAGAACATTCTCCTCTTCTCAAGTTTTGTAAGAAAAAGTTTTGCAACAAACGCAGATATTACGCTTTTAGTTTTGATTAAATTTAATTGGTCACCTTCTAGTTTCAAATTAGTTTTGTTAAATTTGGCAAATAAATCAGACATATGTCATTTTTTGAGTTAATTAAATTGTCGCAAATCATTGTCTTTGCTTTCCAGGAATTCCAACACTGAATCAAAAAGCGCATAAAATTGATTTAAACATACACTTTTAAATAACCAATGTACATCTGTTTTATATTATTATTTATATTATATTATTTTATATTAAACCTTGCGCGGACCCCCTGATGTTGTTCAGAGACCCCCAAATCAATTTTAATTTTCCACGGGCTCCCTGAATGATACTGGGGACCCCTGGGCGTCCGTAAGGACTATTTTGGGAACCACTGCTCTATATGAAGCCAAGGAATCGCACCTTTCAACTAGGTGGAATCCATTAAGCAACTTTTCTCTACCTACCACATCTACCAGACAGAAAAGTGGGCTTTGGCCCAAAAGTGCGTGTCAACCACGTATGGCTCATTAATTGGATGAGGATGATCCTTCTATGAATCAACTCTGAGGCCCACTCATTAACAGTGCTCTCAATATGTGAGAGCTTTTCTGCTGATCTGTTGCTCTGCACTGATGCTGCCACCTTCTTTTAATAATGTTTTTTAATATATTTTTAGCGACATATCATAGTGGTCAATTGCAGAACATATTCACAGGTTCCAGGAAGATTTTCTTTAATTTGTCTGAATGAAGATAGATGCTTTTATATACTGATTGACAGGAGTGTTTTGTTTTGTTGGAATTCTGTGATATTGGACTTCCAATGATATTTAACTACGTCTAAAATTAATTACTGAATTGCCTACTATTTAAATTATTTGTTAATTTACTTGCATAGTTAAAATCTATGTTGTATATAACTCATTCAATTCAATAGTTTTCGTGGCCCGCTTGACCAATTAATATCTTTCAATTAATTAAGGTTTTTAGTTGAGATAAAAAAGTCAATGTCACGAGCGGGATTCGAACCCACGACCTTCGGCTAGATACGCCGCTGCTCTACCACTTGAGCTATCGTGACTTCAATCCACTCATTGTATATAACTTACTTATTAAGAAAACAATATATGAATTTAGCTATGAAAGTTTTCATTGTAAAAAAGTAACTGTCACTCTTAAAAATATAAACTACAATATAATGTAAATTAATTATCAGTGAAAATATCAGGTATTAATTGCAGTAAATATGTATATGCCTTAGTCTTATTTAGGGAATGGGCAACAAATAAACATCCTTCCTCCAGGGTAAAAGAGGAAGAAAAAAAAATGTTGTCCAACTCTGGAGGTCGAGATATCCCAGCCTTAACTGCCTTGTCTATCTTTTCATTACCCTCCAGACCTGTCTGAGTACCCAGACAACCACTTTTTGCTGAAATGCTCCATATCAAGATATCTCTCCAACAAGAGCACAATGAGGTTGACTGAACATGTCGCTGAGCACAAAGTGCGTGACTAACTTCAAAGAGTGCTATGAGGATGCAAGCAAAAGTTGCCCCCCAAGACGGCCGGCACCCTGCTCAGTGCCAGAACTAGTTCATGACAGTGCCACCTGGTACTAACAGATTATGGTAATAACAGATAGCGACAATGCAACAGTCATTCCTGTTATTGAGGTTTCCAGCACTAATGTCACATACAGCAGTAACTAAGCTGAGGAAGTCAGAGCAGACCAGGTAAGCAGAGCCACCATCATTGTGAATCTGCCAAATTGCATACAATTCCACCATATAAACGTTACAGTGCAGGAGGAGAAGTGGATGCACAACACTCCATTAGTCTGTGAAGACGAGGTGAAAACTGTATTCCTCGTTCCAATTTCCAAGAACTTACTTCAGTAAAGGCAGAGTAAACAACTTGGCTAACAAAGAAAGGTTGTCTCTGATGAGTGCAAACATGAAATAATATATTAGGCAACCTACTGAATTTTATGGCTCCAGAGCTGTTTAAATTATTAAATGAAAAAGTTATAACCCAATGATGATATTCTGTATAAAATTCTATACTGCACTTGTTGCACATGGCAAGAAACTAAGTCATCCAAAGTATAGATGTATGTGAAGAAGAGCATAACCTTTTTGAGAAAATATTTGAAAATTAAACAATTAATATAACTTAAACAAGTAATGAGGTACATCTTAAAAAGCATTACTGTTTTCTTTCAAAGTTTAAATTAAATAATAATTATTTTGTTGATACACCACATCAATTAATTTATTAATATGTTCTAAGTTTAAGTTAAGTTTCACAATATTCAATTTGTAAGACATTTGAACAAAATGGAATAACTACGTATATAGAACTTATTTAAAAGATACATAGAAAAGGGCAGTGCACAAAAACCTTTGAAGTGCTTAATAAAATAACCCAGAACTTTTCAATTTTATAATAAATATTAATATATAACAGAATTTATACATACACATACTTTTAAATATTTAATACTTGAATTTTGTAACATCTTGTAAATTCACACATATTCTAAACTTTTATAAAAATATAAAGGCCACACAAAGATATGTTTTTTTTTTTTTTAAATACAAATAACGAGCAATGGATAGAACAATTGTTCTAAACTTATGTTCTAAATAACTACAAAAGAATTTTACAAGTCATGCCTAAGTTTGAGCAATAATTTTATTATTTTTATGTAAGGCTAATTTTATTAAAAACAAAAAATAACAAATATTTAGAAGTTTAAAAATTACTTGAATTACAAAAATATGTACAACAAATAAATACTATTTACACTGTAGTAATAATTTTTTTTAATTAATACAATTTATATGAATATTACTCCTAAATAATTTATAACAATAAATGATTTAAATACTGGTATGATTATTTACAAGTAAAATAAATCAATAATAAAAACAAAACGAGGAACAAAAAATAGATTTGCCCGTTATTTGTTTCAGCACCTTTTTAACCATTCATTTTCTTCTTTATCTTATTTTTGTTTAATAAAAGGAACAAGACCCCACACAGCTGCACCAATTATTAGCGTGACTCCTAGTCCACTGATTATAGGAGCATATGCGTTTAACTGTTGAAAAAGTACTCCACAAATCGGTGGCCCGATTAATTGCAAGATGCCATTCACAAACAATGAAGTACCATAACTTGAGGCTAACATTTCTTCCCCAAGCATATCAACCATTATTACTGTTGTTATTCCAACATAAGTCCCTGAAGCCAGACCAAACATGGCACAAAGAATACCGACGTTTGTGTATGACATTGCTAATGGAAGAGTAACCAAGGCAATACCGGACATCAAGTATCCACCGACAAAATATATCCGTTTGTCTACTTTTAATATGTCTGACAATGCAGCACCGCCAATTCTCCCGACTAAGTCTGTAGACGCAATAATAGATAGCAAGTAGGAAGCCTTAGATTTGTCAAACCCCATTGAAATTGCATAAGTTGGAACCAAAATAGTAAAATTTACATATCCAATTGCATTAGTAGCATTAGAGATAAGAATAATTATAAACATTGGATTGGATAAAAGAGTTTTTATAACAGAGGGTTTTTCTTCTGTTATTTCTTTTTTAGTTTTTTCAGGGCTCTTTGTACAGCAACTAAACCAAGAAGTCTGTTTTGTCTTTTTCATGTTTAAATTTGAAGAATACTCTGGATGTAGACCAACAAGGGTGCTCCCGTGAAAAGCCGTGCTGACATATCTGAATGATGAACCTGACATGTTGGATGCGACACTGTAGTTTCTTGACATTTGGCCTGTACTGCCAACCGACATAGGAGTGGCATAAGTGCTAATCTTCCTATTTATTTGTCCCGAACTTCCTATGTTATACATTCTTCCAGCATATGAGCTTGAGCTGACCTTTCTAACGGAAGGCACTGAATCCAAATTGACCAAAGACTTTTTGAAACCTGTGCCTGAACTCAGTTTCCTGTGTTCACTCGCAGTTAACAAAGGTTGCTCCGATTCTTGATCCACTTTACTATTACTTTTCATCATAATGACTGTGTCACCATTCCTTTCCGGGCTGGTTGGTGAAACATCCACAACTGATTTTTCATCGGCTCCATTTAATTTTGATTCGATTGCAGGGTCCTTCCTCACCCGGACTCTTTTCATGTGCTGAGACACTGGATGGTAAACAAGAGCACCGACTATCACGTTGAATGTCAATCCACCCATAATGAGTACTGAACCTCTGTTGAAAATGAAAATAAACCTCAGCTTTTTAAATATGTGCTAATGTAAGATACTAACCTGTAACCGTATTTTTCTAATAGAAATCGAATAAATGGAGGGAATATGATTGATCCGATGGCACTCCCTGATATTGCTAGTCCGTTGGCAAATCCTCGATACTTCACAAAATAATTTGTGACAAGGTATATTCCTGGAGGAAAAGAAAGACCAGCTCCAAATCCCACCATTACTCCAAAGCTTTACAAAAAAAATGTAAATAAATAATTTCTACATGATTATGTACAAAATTTACCTAAAATATAAATAAATAATCGACGTTGCGAAACAACTAAGTATCATGCCAAATGCGGCAAAGAGACCACCAGCAATTGTGACGGTCCTGTATGATGTTTTTATAGATAAGTATGTTGTCAGAGGTCCTTAAAAAGTAAATTTATTAACTTCTTATTTGACGTTAAATATACAAAAAATGTCAGAGACACTTACTCACCAGTTGAGCAATAAAGGAAGTAGCACAATGCAGGTATCCATGATGCGATTACAGGTGTGGTTTCAAACACTTCAATAAATTCGACAAAGAGAACGCCAAATGATTTTATTGTACCAGGAATAAGCATGTTTATAAGTAAAGTTCCTCCCAATATCAGCCAGCCCCATCCACCATCGGGTGGCACAAGCTCCCACTCCTCATCTGAAACATTAACGTTCAAATTATGCATGTAATTAAAATGTGTTCTTCAGTACACCCAAAGTTATAAAAAATAATTTCTTAAATTTTTTTAGATTACAAAACATTTAGAAAAAAAATTTCAAAAAATAACATTATACCAATGTATTTTTATTCGCGTCTGATTAAATCAATTAACAATTGAGGAAACGTTGCAATCCACTAAAGTGCTTCAAATTCATGACCATTATTAATAACAAGTAATCAACTGGTAATTATGAACTCCCGTGAAGTTAAAAATATAATGATTAATTATAGAAATGATGAATGATGGAGTAAGTGCGGTGTTCAATATTTTTTAAAAAGATAGTTCCTACTCACAGTAAGTAACTGTGAGTAGCAGCCTAACTCTTACTGTCAGTAGGAACTATCTTTTTAAAAAGGATTGATTAATTATTGTCTATAAGGAGTAAGTTTACAAATTAAATGATTTCAGAGGCTTCTATTAAGCCTTAATTAATAAGCACAAACACTAATTGATTGGTTGAATTAATTATTACTAATTAAATTTCCTTCACAGCAAAATTAATTAAGTTAAATACTTGCCAGTCAAAACTGCCAATGACTGACCAAAATTACAAGTTGATTAATTGTTACAAAGAAATTGATTACTGATTTACATAAGCTCAAACCTGCAAGTGTATGTACATGCATAAACACATTTACAAAGCTGAGAGTCCACTGGCAATTCCAGATTTTATGATTTACAATCAATTACTGGCAGACACTAGGCAGAGAATCACCCAAAACCATACCAAAAATATTTCACTTTAGGAAGCCCTAATTAAATATATCGCACTTTACCCCAACATCAAAAATGGTCATCTGTAAACCCTTCCAAATATAATTTTCTGTAGGAAATCTTAATTTAATGCAGCTCTATCCAAACCTCAAAAGGGTCATCCATAAACCCTACCAAAATTTTTTTACTGTAGGAAGCCCTAATTAAATATATTGTACTTTATCGGAATGTCAAAAATACCCCAACAATCAAAAAAGGGTCATCTGTAAACCCTTCCAAATATAATTTTCTGTAGGAAACCATAATTTAATATAGCACACTCTATCCAAACCTCAAAAAGGGTCATCCATAAACCCTACCAAAAATATTTTACTATAGGAAGCCCTAATTAAATATATTGCACTTTACCCCAACGTCAAAAAAGGGTCATCTGTAAACCCTTCCAAATATAATTTTCTGTAGGAAACCTTTTTTAATATATCACACACTATCCAAACCTCAAAAATGGTCATCCATAAACCCTACCAAAAATATTTTACTATAGGAAGCCCTAATTAAATATATTGCACTTTACCACAATGTAGAAATGGTCATCCATAATCATCCATAAACCCTACCAACATTTTTTTACTGTAGGAAGCCCTAATTAAATATATCGCACTTTACCCCAACATCAAAAAGGGTCATCCCTAAACTCTACCAAAAATATTTTACTGTAGGAAGCCCCAATTAAATGTATTGCACTTTACCGCAATATCAAAAATGGTCATCTGTAGACCCTTCCAAATATTATTTTCAGTAGGAAACCTTAATTTAAAATAGAGCACTTTATCCAAAAGTCAAAAGAGGCCATCTGTAAACCCTACCAAAACATTGTACATTGTACAAAATTGTACAACAATATATTACATATTATACAACTACTGTTGCCCAATAACACTATTATTGCTTCTAATTGCGCTAATAGCTGAACAGTATTACATTGTTATGGTAAAATGACACAATATAAGCACTGAAATGAAAAAGAAAATTCCTTTTAACGATAGAGTTATCGTCCTCGAATTCATCAACATTAAATTTCTTATCCATTTTTCCAGTACGATTATTCACTATCGACATAACGTGCATAATTTCGTCAGTTCAAATTGCAAAATCAAATCCGGATTTTATAGAAGACAATAATGTCATATGCACTTGTTAGGATTGCAAATTGTCCGTTGAATCCTGTTCATGATTGTTCCATTTAAATACAGCAGACAAGGAAAATCTGACTATAAGGAAGAGGAAAGGGAATGGCTCTCCTCTATGGCAATGCAAAGCTTGACATTTCGTCGGTAACACGGCAAAATATTGCTGAATCCTCCAATTCACCGACATGGCGTCGACAATTTAACAATAATATATTGAAAAAATTGTTAAAATACCAAGCATAAACTCTGAATTGCGCAAAAATGTGTTAACCCATGTCTATGTACTTTTATGATTAAAAGTTAGAACACGGAAGTTCACACGATTCGCCATCGTTCATCATAAAACCGAGGTGTAATCAAGCATAATAAAATATGAAAACAATAGACTATTTGTGTTCAATCATTATTGATTCAAATTAGGGAGTATCTAAATTCCAGATCTCATATTTTTAATCAACTCAACATTTTCGCATGTTTAATTTGCATATTTATTTGAAATATAAATTCATCGTTTTTATCCTTCCAGACTGCTTTATTGTCGCAACGCCGATATGTTTTTGTTTCGAGAGCGAATAAGCTAACTGAAATTAGAACAGAAGAAATTCGCAATCCTTGGATTTCTGCTAACAGTACAAGAAAGCAATTAGAAAGTTGTGTACTGTAATGTTTTTACCCTTGAACACTTATTACTAATTGTGGCAATTAAGCGAAGTGAATTGAGTACAAAACATTTCGTTTAGCCTGACAGTAAGGGTTCTTTGAAAAATGACTAATTAAAAATCTTCCACGATGTAAGACTACAAAATGCCTTACAATTAGATGTTTGATCAACACTATAAATACGCGTTATTTCAGTTCAATTGTGTTCTTAAATGACTACATTTTGAGAAGACGCATATTAACAGGCCCCATTGAAATTTTAAAGGTTCCAGTTTTCAAAACTAAGGTAAAATATGCCGTATTGGCTTACAATAACACGTCGCATTCATCTACAAAATTTATTTAGAAATCGTGAGATGCGGTCTGGTGTGATGTAGGTTTCAGAGAAACATTTCCTTTATCGTGCCAACGTTTCGATCTTTATTGAGATCATCTTCAGGGCCTGGGATTTACAAACATTGTTTATATATTACAATTACATTTTGGATGTGGAAAAGTGAATTTATACAATGCAAAATATATTCTATGAACAAATTGCAACTACATATGGACACGAAGCTAAAAGTATACTTTACACAGAAGACAAACACTTTGAGTGAGTAGAAATACTTTGATTGAATGTATAAAAAAATATATTTTGCATTGTATGAATTCACTTTTCCACATCCAAAATGTAATTGTTATATATAAACAATGTTTGTAAATCCCAGGCCCTGAAGATGATCTCATTAAAGATCGAAACGTTGGCACGATGAAGAAAATGTTTTTCTGAAACCTACATCACACCAGACCGCATCTCACGATTTCTAAATAAATATCGATTAACGGTCACTAATCACCACACACATCTACAAAATTTTCACCTTTCGAGATTATAAACGGTCACCTCGATAAGGGTGTTCCATTTGATATCGACTTAAACCAAAAATTAATAAATAATTGCAGTAGAATATTCGCGAAAGAAAAGAAAAAGAAGGAAAACACGCAGAGGGCCGGCGACGACCTCAGCTGTTTGTCGGCCCATAAACTTCCCACTTATATACAGTAGAGTCGCATAAAGATAAGATTAAACTATTATACGAAAAGGTTAAGGAAAATATAATCAGAAATAAAGAAACGGCCATAGGTAAATTGAACCAAAGAGAGAATCTCTAATGCAGATCCTGTCACAGTGTACGTTAAGAACAAACAAATTAGTACACAAAGTAAGACACAAAATATAAACCAGCAAAAGTAAAATCTGTAAACATGAAATTAAAAACAGCCCGAATTGTTACTTCGCAGAAAAACACCCACGATAAAATACACTTTCGAACGTCAAAATACTGTAAAAACAGACTTATAATTTTGATGTTCCAGGTACTTCCAACTCTTTGAACTCTTGAGTGTAATTGATACCCAAAACATGAAATCTTGACTGTTGAAAGGTATTTCTTTATTATCATTCTATATTATCTAATCCTTCTTTAACTGATACACCAGCAACAGACAGACAAAAATCATCGCTGAAATTTCCTCGGTAGTACTTTACAGTTTTATCAGCATAATAGTTTAATTAAATCTAGAAAATACAAATTATCGATAATCTGCAGTAGTAATCAATCTTAACTGCAGTCAATAGTGAAAATTCTGATAAGGATAAAAACAACTAGTAAACAACCATCATTAAATACCGCTAATCACACTCAATTAAACAATTACACACAAGCACTTTTTAATAAATTTAATAAAATTACAACTATACCACTAAGGCTAGTAACGAAATTCACAAAGAGATAAAATGCGAACGGTATGCAGTTGATATAGACTTACTTGCCCGGGGCAAATTTTAAGAAACATTATGACGTTATCCAAGGATTGCTATTTACAGAAACGATGTATAAGGCTGAGGATTAACCCTAACAAAACGACCCTATGGTTGCTACTATTAGCATTTACATAGAAAAGAAAAACAACAAAACCTGAACTTTCAAAAACACAGATGATCGTAGGAATATGTTGACTGCAGAACAAATGATAATGACGATAACAAAGTTTACCATGCTTAACATCAGCAAAGAAGAATCTGTAGTATAATCAATTTTTGTTCTTTTGGTTTTTTCTTCTTTTGTTTTACCCGTTTTCTCAGTCTGCGTGCCAACCCAGAACATGACAGTCTTCTCTCGTCCCACTTCCAGCGCTTTTCCCCAATTTAATGTTTTGTATTTCGAGCAGTCTTTTGTACACCCGCAATTTTTCTTGTGTTGACCCTCGATTGGAGACCTCATTTTCTTTAAATATGTTTTTTTCTTAAAAGTTAACTCCCTTCAGCTAACACCTTACGAACGTTGAAGAAAGCGGCTGACGTCGAAGGTATTTATCATCTTTAAAAT